GCGTCACAGCTGGCTGTGGAGTTGGGGCGCAGGGCCCTTTGGCTTCCATTGGCTTCCCCAGGGGTCCCCTTTGGCTTCCCCAGGGGTCCTGCCCAGGCAGACTCGCTGTAGGAAGCGCACAGTGAGAACAGGGATGCTGACTGCTCCGACAGTGTGCTCAGAGAGAGGATCGGCCCGTCCTTCTTGGGGACCAGCACCACGGGAAAGGCTCAAGGGCTGGAGAACGGCTGAATCTCCCCTAAAGCCAGCCCATCCTTGACCCCTCTCTCCAGGGCCTAGGCAGGTTTCCCAGTGACCCTGAATGGGGAACACCTGATGGGAGGGTCAGCTCCCGTCTCCACCCGGTTGGACAGCCAGGTTAGTGAGCCCAGGCCGGTTGGAAACCAGCTGCTTATACAAACTAGTACCTCTTTGATCTCAGCCTGCCGGGCAGGGGTTAGCTGTGCAGAGAGGGGGATTGAATCCAGCGGGGGGCTGGCTCCTGTCTCAGGGAATAGATCTGCCAAGGGATCATCTCCCTGCTCCTCCCACTGGCCACACACAACCAGCATCAGCCTCTCCCTTCCACAGTACAGCTCCGTCAGGTTGACATGGTGCACCCGGTGACGGTGTGCCCAGTTGGACGGTTTCACCACATAGTTCACCTCATTTAACTGCCTGATGACCTTGAATGGGCCGTCCCAGGCAGGTTGCAGCTTGTTCTTCCGGGAATGAGAATCAACACCTGGTTCCCTGTAGCATAGGAGCGGGCCTGCGCTGAGTGATTGTACCAGACCTTCTGCTTCCCTGGGGCCTTGGCTAGGTTTCCTCTGGCCAAACCCATGAGCTCAGTGAGCTATTCCTGGAAAGCCAGTACATACTCCACCACTGATTCTCCATCGGGAGAGGCCTTCCCCTCCCATTCGTCCCTCACCAAGTCATGGGGTCCCCTCACTCTCCTCCCATACAGCAGCTAGAACCCTGTGGGTTCCTGGGGCACTTTCCTGCATGCAAACTGCAGGTGGGGTAAATACTTGTCCCAGTCCTGTGGGTGCTGGTTCATAAAGGTTTTCAGCATCATCTTTAGAGTCCCATTGAACCTCTCCTCCAGCCCGTTGGACTGAGGGTGATACGCCGAGGTCCAGGTCTGCTGGACGCCACACTGGAGCAGGGTTGACATGAAGTTGGACCCCTGGTCTGTAAGGACCTCCTTGGGGAACCCCACTCTGCTGAAAATGGTCAGCAGCGCGTCTGCCACGGTGTCTGCCTCAATAGAGGACAGAGCCACCGCCTCGGGGTAGCGCGTAGCGAAATCCACCCCCACCAGGCTGTATTTCTTCCCTGCCCTGGTCGCCCTGCTGAAGGGCCCCACGATGTTCATGGCCACCTTCTGACAAGGCTCCTCTATGATGGGCGGGGGCCTGAAGGCTGCTTTACCCTTATCCCGGACCTTCCCCACCCTCTGGCAGGGGTCGCAGGAGCTGCCGTGCTGCTGGACGGCGTCCCAGACTCCAGCCCAGGGAAATTTCTGCAGCAGCCTCTGCCTGGGGCTCCGGATCCCCTGGTGTCTCGAGAGCGGGACGTCACGGGCCAGCTACAGCAGCCTGCGGCGGTACTTCTGGGGGACCACCAGCTGCCTCCGGATCCCCCACGGTTCTGCTTCCCCTGGGGGAGCCCGTTCCCAGTACAGGAACCCCTTCTCCCACAGGACTCTTTCCTGGCAGCCTTTCCCCCGGGGTTTCGCTGCACTGGGGACAGCAAGTTCCCTCAGCTTCTCTAAGGAAGGATCCTTCTGCAGCTCGGTCTGGAACTCAGCAGCTGGAGAGGAGAGTGACACCAGTTCCCTCTCGCTGCCTGCGGTCACAGCCCTCCAGACCGGATCCAAGGGGCCGGAGCCCAGGAGAGCACAGGCAGACATATATGCTGGGGCCAGGAGTGAGAGCTAGTTGGCCACCCCACCCATCTGGCTAAACAGCTCTATGGCCGTGCAAGGGGCTAGACACTGGAGCCTTTCCGCAGGGTCAGCCTGGTTCCAGCTGAAGCCTTCCCAAAGGCCGCAAGACAGGCGTTTATCTCTCCCCGCTCTTTAACCTGGGGCAGCAATTTAGTGTCGAGATTTCCTGCAGAATTGGCACCCAACTCACCCCTGGATGGGTCCCTCTGCCTCGGAGCTCAGCCATCGCCAGTTCCTGCAGCCTCTGTCTCTCCTGCTGTTCTGCTTCATGCCTCCCCTGTCTCTCATGGTCCTCCGACCCCCTCAATGTCAGCTCCAGTTCCATCCGTCTCAGATCCACCGACGGGGAACCTGTTGGAGACTCCCTGCTGGTCGGGAGCATGGATCTCCGGAACACCCAGCTGTTCCCAGCCTCTCTCACGGCCCCAGCTGGGTCAGGAACCGATGTGGGCCCTGGGGTTGCCTGGCTGTTCCCAGCCTCTCTCACGGCCCCATCTGGGTCAAGACCTGGCTCCTTAGAGTGATCCTCCTCTTCCAACTGAGCAATTAGCTGCGTCTTGGTGAGCTTTCCAATGCACAGCCCTCTCTCTGCACAGCTCTACAAGGTCCTTATTGAGGAGATGCTCATAGGCCTTCTCCACGCAGTTCCCAAGTGGTCACGGACTCACAGGCCTGTGCTCTCTCAGCTCCCTATGATCCATGGGAGGAACCCTTCAGTGCAACAGCCCTTCTCGGGGGTCCACTCTCTCTCGGAGTTAAGCCGTAGGCTCCTCCACCTCCTGGAACCGCACCTCTCGGAGCCTTCAGCACACCCGTCTCTCGCTAATCCCTCTTCCTTTTACTGCTCCCCAGTCACTTACTGCAGGATGCTCCGTCCACAGGGTGCAGTTCATCCCACTTCTGCCACCAGTTGTTACGGAGTCACAGGACCAATGCTCTGGAACTGCTCCATACGAAGCCAGTCAGGACTCTGGTTACTCGAGGGGATGGAGAATTTTGCCCTGGCGTATATTCATGATACCTGTGTTTTTAGCCAGACCTGGGAGGACCATGTTTCCCAGATTAAACAAATGCTGGACTGGCTCCAGGGTGCAGGACTGACTATAAAAGCTGGGAAGTGCAAGGAGGGGGTGGCAGAGGTGTCACACCTGGGCCACAAAGTGGGGAGCGACTGCCTAAAGCCAGAGCCAGCCAAGGTGGGGGTGATCAGAGACTGACCCGCTCTCCAGTCTAAGAAACAGGTCCAGACCTTTACTGGGATGGCGGGGCTCTATCAGAGGTAGTGCCCCACTTTCACTCCATAGCCACCCCCATCACTGAGCTATGCAAGAAGGGAAAGCCAGGCAAGGTGGTCTGGACCAAGCAGTGCCAGAGGGCTCTCTGTGCTCTGAAGGAGGCTCTGGTCAGGGGCCTAGTGCTGGTAAATCCAGACTTTGACAAGCCCTTCATGGTGTTCACTGACGCCTCAGACACAGCTGGGCGCGGTGCTGATGCAGGTTAATGAGAAGGGGGAGAGACACCCCGTCGTGTACTTGAGCAAGAAGCTGTTTCCCCAGGAGCAGAACTACACGGCCTTAGAGAAGCAACCCCTGGCCATGGGCTGGGCCCTTAAAAAGCTGCAGCTGTATCTATGTGGGCAGCGTTTCACTGTGTGCACTGACCACTCTCCCCTGACGTGGCTACACCAGATGAGAGGGGCTAATGCCAAGCTCCTGAGGTCGAGTCTCCAGCTTCAGGGTTACGACCTGGAGGTGGCCCACGTTAAGGGGAGTGCCGCTGTTATAGCAGATGCTTTGTCCCGGAGAGGGGGCCGGAACTTCCCCAGGCCACTGGCTAAAGGGACCCCGCTCAGTTCGGTCTCAGAGGGGGGAGAGATGTGACGAAGTGGGGTTTTATTCACCTTCTTATGTTGCATGTAAGTCTTACTGTCCTATACTAATAGTGTGTGTGCCTCAGTTTCCCTGTGTGCTGAACCAATGCCTCGGTGGCGGGAATTGGATGTGTGACTTTTGCCGAGGCCCTAAGGGCAGAGGGCACGTACCAAGTGGCGTCCATGGCAGAGGGGGGCAATGGGGAACGTACCATAGGGGGTCAATAGCAGGGGGGAATAGTGGGGCATGTACCAAGTGAGCGCCATAAAGGGGGAGGGTAGTGAGAGAACATACTAAGTGGGGTCCATGGCAGAGGGAAGCATGGGGGCATGTACCAAGTGGGGGCCATAGTGGAGGGGGGCAATCGGGGACATACCATATGGGATCAATAATGGGGGGGCAGTGGGGATTCTTTTGTGCCAAGCCAAGGAGGCTGCTAGGAGGCCGAAGTTGCTGGGCCGAGGCTCATGGGAAGGATTCTAGTGGGGCGGGGGGCACAAAGAGGCCAGAAGTTTAGCATCTGGTACATCACAGTCCCAAGCGGCCCAAACCCAGCTGGGGGGTGAGGGAGGGTCCAACGCACACAATGGATATGGGCACGTGACATTCCCCGCCTGGCCCAACCGAGAGCCCAGCCCGTTGGAAAACGAAAGGCCAAGACCCCATGCGGCCAGGCTGGCAAGGCAAAGGGCCTGGAGTGTAGCCCTGCGTGGCATTGCACCCCAAAAGCCCTCCCACTGCGGGGTCAAACAGGGGCCAGGCCCCCGTTTTAAGCAACGTCTCGAAGGTGGCCCTCTGACTGTGGGGCTGGGACCGGATTGGAGCCGGCGCCCTCTAGAGGGAAAGGCCCCAGCCCCCAGAGTCCTTCCATTCCCCACCCCCCTGCAGCCCCCAGAGTCCTTCCATTCCCCACCCCCCGGGCCAGCCAGCCCCCATCCCTAGGGCTGGATCGGAGCCAGCACCCCCTAGAGGGAAATGGCCCCAGGACCCATTCCCCGCCCCCCCGCCCCCCCAAGCCAGCCAGCCCGCCCACCGCCCGCCCTAGGGCTGGATCAGAGTTGGCACCCCCTAGAGAGCAAAGGCCCCATGTCCCATTCCCTCCCGACCCCCCAAGCCAGCCAGTCCCCGCCTGGGGCCAGAGGCTATAAACGCTGCCCTATTCGAGCGGGCCTTGCAGAGCAGCCAGGGCAGCAGAGGCGAGTTCCAGATGATTTATTGTGTTTCCATCGCTTCTGAACCCGGCTCCAGGCTGGTGTCAGTAATTAGCCCCTTCGCCCCACCGGGGCCCCCGGGGCCATCAGTTCTTCTCCATGGTCTCCTGGATCCAGGCTAGGTATTTGCAGATATTGGTGTAGACCCCAGGCCTGTTGGGCTGGGCGCAGGGGTGATCTCCCCAGGAAACTAGGCCCTGCAGCTTTCCATTACAGACCAGGGGGCCCCCAGAGTCGCCCTGCAGAGATGTCACAGAAAAGTCATCAGTCAGCCACAGCACATGGGGCCACGGAGACGCAGCCCGGCCACACCATGCAGAGCCACAGAGATGCAGCCATGCCATGGAGAGCCAGGAGATGCAGCCCAAGCATGCCATGCGGTGCCATGGAGAGGCAGCCACGCCCCATGGGGCCACAGAGCAGCAGCCGCCCCACGCAGAGCCACGGAGACACAGTCATGCCACGCAGAGCCGCGGAGATGCAGCCACGCCATGCTACGGAGACAGCCCCACCGTGCCACACAGAGCCACGGCACACCATGGAGCCACTGCCATGCCAGTGTCTCCAACCTTCGTTCCCCATCTGGCCCCAGGAGAAGCCCCCCTCACCTCGCAGGAGTCTTTGCTCCCCTCCAGTACCCCAGCACAGAGCATGTTCTCAGTCACTTTGTCGGGGTACGCGACCTCACAGATGGAGTTGGAGACGATCTTGATGTCCACGCACTGGGGGACATCAGGGTACGTCTCTGGAAGGGAAGGGGTGACAGTTTTCTACGAGGGCGGGCCAAGGCCATAGGGGAGGGAGGGTAGCATGCCCCTCAGTCCCTACCCACGGCCCCCTGCTATCCCAGCCCTGCCACCCCCCAGCTCTGCTGGTGCCCCTCACTTCTGACCCGCAGCCCCTGCTAGCCCTCCTTGGGCTGCCTCGCACAGCTCTACTGGTGCCCCTCACTCATCCCCCGCTAGCCCAGCCCTGGGCTCCACCCACCCCAGCTCTGCCAGTGCCCCTCACTCCCGACCCGCAGCCCCTGCTATCCCACAGCAGGACTGGGGTCCGCTACCGGCGGGGCTGGTGATGGTGCCCCATCCCATCACGGTGCAGAGGGTCCCTGCTGGGGGGCAGCTGTCGGTCAGTGCCAGGGGCTGCACGTAGTTGGTGTAGACGGCCGGGGGTGACAGGCGGAGCAGCATGACGTCATTCTCGTAGTCCCGGCTGCCGGCGATGAGGGCACGGAACCCGGGGTGGGGGATGATGGCCTGGGCGGCTGAGAACTGCTCGTGTCCCAAGCTCGTTTCACGGCTGTGCTCCCCCAGGCGCACCTGGATGTGACTGAGGACAGAGAACAGAGAGTCCCAGGCTGCTGGCCAGGCCCAGCCCCCGCAATCCCCAGGCCCCAGAGTCCTCCCCAGCCCCCCAACACGCAGCCCCTGCAGCCCCCAGAGTCCTTCCCAGCCCCCCAACACCCATCCCCCGCAGCCCCCTAGGCCCAAGAGTTCTCCCCATCCCTCCAACACCCAGCCCCTGCAGCCTCCCAGGCCCCAGAGTACTCCCCAGCCCCTGCAGTCCCCAGCCCCCCAACAGCCAGCCCCCGCAGCCCCCAGAGTCGTCCCCAGCCTCGCAACCCCTGCAACCCCTGAAATCCCCAAGCCCCCCAGCCCCAACAGCCCCTGCAACCCCCCCAGCCCCCAAAGCCCCCACAACACCCAGGCCCCGCAACCCCCAGTCCCCCCAGCCTCCCAAAAACCAACCCCCACAGACTTCGCAGCCCCCAGAGTCCTCCCCAGACCCCCAACACCCAGCCCCCACAGGCTCCCCAGGCCCCGCAGCCCCCAGAGTCCTCCCCAGCCCCCGCAACTCCCAGGCCCCATAGTCCTCCCCAGCCCCTACAACAACCAGCTCCCCCAGCCTCCCCCGGCCCCGCAACCCCCATGCCCTGCGGCTCCCCCAACCCCCGCAGCCCCCCCAACAGGCCCCACAGCTCCCCAGAAGCGGCCAACAGGTCCAGCTCCTAGGCGGGGGAGCCACTGGGGCTCCGCGCTCTATTCCCGCTCCGAGCACCAGCTCCACACTGCCATTGCCTGCGGTTCCCGGCCAATGGGAGCTGGGGGGCGGTGCCTGCGGGCAAGAGCCGTGCACAGAGCAGCCTGCCGTGTCTCTGCCTGTGAGCCGGACCTGCTGGCAGCTTCCGGGGCACAGCGCAGAGCCAGGACAGGCAGGGACTAGCCTGCCTTAGCCCCGCAGCACTGCTGACCGGGAGACACCCAAGGTAAGCCCGCGCCCCAACCCTGAGCCCCCGCAAACCTGGAGCTCCCTCCTGCACCCCAAACCTCTCATCCCCAGCCCTACCCCAGAGCCGGCACCCCAAGATGGAGCCCTCAACCCCCTGCACCCCAACCCCCTGCCTCAGCCCAGAGTCCCCTCCCCCACCCTGAACCCCTCTGCCCCACCCCCAGCCTGCATCCCAAACTTTTCACCCCGGCCCCATCCCAGAGCCTGAACCACCAGAGGGAGCCCTCACCCCCTCCCACATCCCAATCTCCTGCCCCATCCAGTGAAAGTGAGTAAGGGTGGCGGAGAGCAAGTCACCGAGGGAGGGGGGATGTAGTGAGTGGGGGGCAGGGCCTCAGCGAAGGGGTGGGGCTAGGATGTTTGTTTTTTTTTCTATTAGAAAGTTGGCAGCCTTCCCAGGCCCCTAGCCCCTCCCAACGCTCTGCAACCCCCAGGTCTCAGAGTCCACCCCAGCCCCTAAACCCCGAGGCCCCAGGCCCAACAGGCCCCGCAGCCCCCCCAGCCTCCCCTCAGACCCTACAGCCCCCCCCCCGCAGCTCCGCAAATCCCACAGCCCCCTCCAGCTCTGACTCAGCCCCCCTCTCTCCCCCCACTGACCCCACTGATCTCCCTGCACCACAACTGCCGCTCCAGCTCTCTCTCAGCCCTCCTTCCTCACCCAGATCTTAGTCATCCCTGCAGGTCTCACAGAGTGAAATGCACTCTTGGCTGTTGGGACAGCGACTGCCGCCAGTGACCCCCAACCAGTAACCCTTCCTGCCTACCCTCTTACCAACACCTTCCAACTGACCCACCTACCAACCTACCTCCCTACACACCTACCTTCCTACCTTCTGCCTGACCCACCTACCAACCTACCTCCCTGCCCTCTTACCTCCCTACCAACCTACCTTCCCACTGACCCACCTACCTCCCTACACTCCTACCTCCCTACCAACCTACCTTCCCACTAACCCACCTCCCTACCAACCTACCTCCCTACCCTCTTACCTCCCTACCAACCTACCTTCCCACTGACCCACCTACCTCCCTACCCTCTTACCTCCCTACCAACCTACCTTCCCACTGACCCACCTCCCTACCCTCTTACCTCCCTACCAACCTACCTTCCCACTGACCCACCTACCTCCCTACACTTCTACCTCCCTACCAACCTACCTTCCCACTGACCCACCTCCCTACCAACCTACCTCCCTACCCTCTTACCTCCCTACCAACCTACCTTCCCACTGACCCACCTACCTCCCTACCCTCTTACCTCCTTACCTCTCTACCAACCTACCTTCCCACTGACCCACCTCCCTACCCTCTTACCTCCCTACCAACCTACCTTCCCACTGACCCACCTACCTCCCTACACTCCTACCTCCCCACTGACCCACCTCCCTACCAACCTACCTCCCTACCCTCTTACCTCCCTACCAACCTACCTTCCCACTGACCCACCTACCTCCCTACCCTCTTACCTCCCTACCAACCTACCTTCCCACTGACCCACCTCCCTACCCTCTTACCTCCCTACGAACCTACCTTCCCACTGACCCACCTACCTCCCTACACTCCTACCTCCCTACCAACCTACCTTCCCACTGACCCACCTCCCTACCAACCTACCTCCCTACCCTCTTACCTCCCTACCAACCTACCTTCCCACTGACCCACCTACCTCCCTACCCTCTTACCTCCCTACCAACCTACCTTCCCACTGACCCACCTCCCTACCCTCTTACCTCCCTACCAACCTACCTTCCCACTGACCCACCTACCTCCCTACACTTCTACCTCCCTACCAACCTACCTTCCCACTGACCCACCTCCCTACCAACCTACCTCCCTACCCTCTTACCTCCCTACCAACCTACCTTCCCACTGACCCACCTACCTCCCTACCCTCTTACCTCCTTACCTCTCTACCAACCTACCTTCCCACTGACCCACCTCCCTACCCTCTTACCTCCCTACCAACCTACCTTCCCACTGACCCACCTACCTCCCTACACTCCTACCTCCCTACCAACCTACCTTCCCACTGACCCACCTCCCTACCAACCTACCTCCCTACCCTCTTACCTCCCTACCAACCTACCTTCTCACTGACCCACCTACCTCCCTACCCTCTTACCTCCCTACCAACCTACCTTCCCACTGACCCACCTCCGTACCCTCTTACCTCCCTACCAACCTACCTTCCCACTGACCCACCTACCTCCCTACACTTCTACCTCCCTACCAACCTACCTTCCCACTGACCCACCTCCCTACCAACCTACCTCCCTACCCTCTTACCTCCCTACCAACCTACCTTCCCACTGACCCACCTACCTCCCTACCCTCTTACCTCCTTACCTCTCTACCAACCTACCTTCCCACTGACCCACCTCCCTACCCTCTTACCTCCCTACCAACCTACCTTCCCACTGACCCACCTACCTCCCTACCCTCTTACCTCCTTACCTCTCCACCAACCTACCTCCCATCTGACCCACCTACTTGCCCACTTACCTTCTATAAAAAGAAAAGGAGTACTTGTGGCACCTTACAGACTAACCAACACGGCTGTTACTCTGTTACCTTCTATCTATCTATCCCTGTACACACCTCAAAATCTATGTATCATCTCTCCATCCCCATACACACTGCAGTCAATAGATAGATAGATAGATGATGGGTGTGTACGGGACTGGCTGCATATGGGCCTGGTGGAGAGATGATGGGTGTGTATGGGGCTGGGTAGAGGGATGATGGGTGTGTTTGGGGCTGGCTGTGTAGGGGCCTGGTAGAGGGATGATGGGTGTCCATGGGGCTGGCTGTGTAGGGGGCTGGTAGAGGGATGATGGGTGACAATGGGGCTGGCTGTGTACGGGGCTGGGTAGCCAGCTCTCCCGCGCCCTTTGGGGGTCACTGTAGCCCCAGGAGTGCTGTGCTGGGGCATGGGTTCAATCCCAGCTGGGACGCTGCATGGAGAATTGATGGGTATATTGGGGTGTCCCAAGCTGAGCCTCTGCACAGAGCAGCTCCCCCCACCTGCCCACCCAGGCCCCGCTCCCTTCGCCCCACCTCCTTCCCCCACCCCTCTGCCTTGCCCCCCACCTCAACTTGCAGTGGGCGGCAGTGAGCACCCAGTCCCGGTTCAGCAGGATGCCAGAGCAGTAGTGTTGGTCAAAGTAGTAGAGGAGAACCAGCCAGGGGTGCCCCAACTCTGGGCACTCGGTACCCCCAATGATCCGATCTTCTCGGGGAGAGGCTGCAGGGTGGGAGGGGCAGAGATCAGTGGGGGATGGAGATGGCAACGGGGCTACGGCCCATTGATCCCAGCTGGGATCTGGCCCCATTGACCCCAGCTGGGATCTGGCCCCATTGACTCCAACGGGGCTACGGCCCATTGACCCCAGCTGGGATCTGGCCCCATTGACTCCAACGGGGCTACGGCCCATTGACCCCAGCTGGGATCTGGCCCCATTGACTCCAACGGGGCTACGGCCCATTGACTCCAAAGGGGCTACGGCCCATTGACCCCAGCTGGGATCTGGCCCCATTGACTCCAAAGGGGCTACGGCCCATTGACCCCAGCTGGGATTTGGCTCCATTGATTCCAACGGGGCTACGGCCCATTGACCCCAGCTGGGATCTGGCCCCATTGACTCCAGCGCGGCTACGGCTGATTCACGTTACACAGAAGAGATTCTCATGTAGGCACTCAAAAGCAAGCACACACACACACTGTGTGGCTCACACAAAGACAATCCGGACACAACGCACTCTGCCCGCCTCCCAGATCCGCTCACCTCGGTGGGAATACACAGACCCGGGGGATGACCGCCCCGTACTGCATCCCACCCACACTGCACACCCTCAGCCACCCCGACAGCAATGACACACACCTACATGCAGACAGATGCAACACCCGTGCACACGGGTACGGACACACACACAGCAATGCACACCCGTGGTAGGACACACTCGGAAGCAGGCCACCTGCTCCTATGTACGTGCTCCTTTAAACCCGTGCAGACATAGGCACCCCCAGCGGTGTACGTACACACACCCACACACCCACACACACACACACACACACACACCCCCACACACACACACACCCAGGTGAGGTGGCACGTTCCCCGTACACCTGCCCCTGCTACACACTCCTCTGTGAACACACAGCCGCTCTTACACGCGCACACACGGATTGAAAACACACCGTTACCCATGCTTATGCAAACAAGTCCACACACAGCATTCCCCACACATGTGCAACACACCCCCCCTTCACGCGGAAAGGACACACGCGCACCTTGCACAGCTTGCCCCTGCACACCCAGACCGGCAGGCCACGGCAATCTGCACGCTCATATGCACACGCACAACGCTCGTGCACGCTCACACCCGCATGCGCTCCCCCCCACGCGCACACGATCACAACCCTGCACGCGCACACATACGTGCTCACACGCGTGCACACGCACTGCCAGGCCCTCACCTGCGGGCAGCAGCAGGAGCAGCAGCAGCGCGAAGCCGGCCCGCTTCATGGCGAGCAGGGCGGCAGGTGCTCAAGCTTGGACCGTTCCCCTGCACTTTACGCCTCGGGCTGGGGGCTGGTGGTCAATGATTAATGGGTCATGAGGAAACAGCCGCCCCCCCACGGTGCCCTGGCTTGTTTGGACACCGCAAAGGTCACGCGGCAGGTGGCAAATTCTCACCCCCCCCCCCTCCCCAGCCTTCCCCGCTGGGCACCCCTTGGAGGAAGTGCGCAGCCACCGCTCTGAAGCTCACCTGAGCAGCACGTGCTCAGCCCATCCTCCCAACCTGCTCCCGAGCCAGCCAGTCCCCCGCCCTGGGGCCGGATCAGAGCCGGCGCCCCCTAGAGGGGAAAGGCCCCGTGTCCCATTCCCCGCCCCCCGGAGCCAGCCAGTCCCCCGCCCTGGGGCCGGATCAGAGCCGGGGCCCCCTAGAGGGGAAAGGCCCCGTGTCCCATTCCCCACCCCCTGGAGCCAGCCAGTCCCCCGCCCTGGGGCCGGATCAGAGCCAGGGCCCCCTAGAGGGGAAAGGCCCCGTGTCCCATTCCCCGCCCCCCGGAGCCAGCCAGTCCCCCGCCCTGGGGCCGGATCAGAGCCGGGGCCCCCTAGAGGGGAAAGGCCCCGTGTCCCATTCCCCACACCCCGGAGCCAGCCAGTCCCCCGCCCTGGGGCCGGATCAGAGCCGGCGCCCCCTAGAGGGGAAAGGCCCCGTGTCCCATTCCCCACCCCCTCGGAGCCAGCCAGTCCCCCGCCCTGGGGCCGGATCAGAGCCGGCGCCCCCTAGAGGGGAAAGGCCCCGTGTCCCATTCCCCGCCCCCCGGAGCCAGCCAGTCCCCCGCCCTGGGGCCGGATCAGAGCCGGGGCCCCCTAGAGGGGAAAGGCCCCGTGTCCCATTCCCCGCCCCCCGGAGCCAGCCAGTCCCCCGCCCTGGGGTCGGATCAGAGCTGGGGCCCCCTAGAGGGGAAAGGCCCCGTGTCCCATTCCCCACCCCCTGGAACCAGCCAGTCCCCCGCCCTGGGGTCGGATCAGAGCCGGGGCCCCCTAGAGGGGAAAGGCCCCGTGTCCCATTCCCCACCCCCCGGAGCCAGCCAGTCCCCCGCCCTGGGGTCGGATCAGAGCCAAGGCCCCCTAGAGGGGAAAGGCCCCGTGTCCCATTCCCCGCCCCCCGGAGCCAGCCAGTCCCCCGCGCTGGGGCCGGATCAGAGCCGGCGCCCCCTAGAGGGGAAAGGCCCCGTGTCCCATTCCCCACCCCCCGGAGCCAGCCAGTCCCCCGCCCTGGGGCCGGATCAGAGCCAGGGCCCCGTAGAGGGGAAAGGCCCCGTGTCCCATTCCCCACCCCCTGGAGCCAGCCAGTCCCCCGCCCTGGGGCCGGATCAGAGCCAGGGCCCCCTAGAGGGGAAAGGCCCCGTGTCCCATTCCCCACACCCCGGAGCCAGCCAGTCCCCCGCCCTGGGGTTGGATCAGAGCTGGGGCCCCCTAGAGGGGAAAGGCCCCGTGTCCCATTCCCCACCCCCTGGAGCCAGCCAGTCTCCTGCCCTGGGGTCGGATCAGAGCCGGCGCCCCCTAGAGGGGAAAGGCCCCGTGTCCCATTCCCCGCCCCCCGGAGCCAGCCAGTCCCCCGCCCTGGGGCCGGATCAGAGCCAGGGCCCCCTAGAGGGGAAAGGCCCCGTGTCCCATTCCCCGCCCCCCGGAGCCAGCCAGTCCCCCGCCCTGGGGCCGGATCAGAGCCGGCGCCCCCTAGAGGGGAAAGGCCCCGTGTCCCATTCCCCACCCCCTGGAGCCAGCCAGTCCCCCGCCCTGGGGTCGGATCAGAGCCAAGGCCCCCTAGAGGGGAAAGGCCCCGTGTCCCATTCCCCGCCCCCCGGAGCCAGCCAGTCCCCCGCCCTGGGGCCGGATCAGAGCCGGCGCCCCCTAGAGGGGAAAGGCCCCGTGTCCCATTCCCCGCCCCCCGGAGCCAGCCAGTCCCCCGCCCTGGGGCCGGATCAGAGCCAGGGCCCCCTAGAGGGGAAAGGCCCCGTGTCCCATTCCCCACACCCCGGAGCCAGCCAGGCCCCTGCCCGGAAGCTGGCTTGGAGCCAGCGCCCCCCGGCACTGTGTCCTTATGGAGCAGCACGCGGTTCTCAGAAGCCATGTCACTGCGCAGCTATTCTGGAGCAGCTGCTCTCATGGCTCCTTTGTCAACACGGCCAAGGCCCTTCGCATTCCTCCCGCCTGGCACGGGGAGCCCCGTCCCAGGCACTACAGGAGAGGCAGCCCTGGTCCCTCCTCCAGGCCTCTCCATGGCTTAGCAGTGGATGGCACAGGGTGGGGGGCTGTGTCAGCTGGGCTCTGCCATGTGGCCCCCATTCCATGGACCCATGTACTGGGTTAGCAGGGGGTGGGGGGGGAGCCAGGACTCCTGGGTTCTCTCCCCAACTCTGGGTGGGGAGTGGGGTCTAGTAGTTGGAGTAGGGGGGGCTGGGAGTCAGGACTCCTGGGTTCTATCCTGGGCTCTGCCTCTGCCTCCCCATGCCTCAGTTTCCCCATCAGTCACATCCCATTCTTTTCTAAAGCGCTCTGAGCTCTGCAGAGGGCCAGCGCTATATAAGCCCTGGGTATTATTACTGCAATGCTACCTCAATGAGCTGGAGCCCGGCCTACGTATCCGACATATTCTGTCCAGGGACATGGCGCGCCTAACCCTACAGACGGTGGGGGCAGGGACAGAACCTAGGAAATCACATGGGAAGGATGGTCCAGCGGTTAGAGTGGTGCTCGATTTCCAGCTCTGTCTCCGTGAGGTAGTGGACAAGTGTCTGAGCCTCCATTGCCCAGCTGTGAAATGGGTGTGGATTGAGTTACCGCTGTAATAGGAGCTCGGTAGGTACCTCAGAGAGGCGGCCTGCATTGCCGGCAGGGGGGATTGAACCTGCGGCCTCTCGATCGAAGACCATGAGTAAGGCTACGATTTGGTCACTTCCAGCAACCTCCGTGACCTCAGTCTGCGGCAGTCGGGAGCTCTGGCGGCCCCTGGACCATTGTAGGCGGCGGGGGGACCCCCAAGCTCCTGGCTGCCATGGGTGGTGGGGGGACCCCTGGAGCTCCAGCACCCAACCCATGGGGGCAGTCCTAGCCATGGTGCAGCTACCCAATGCAGGCAGTGTGGGGACCCACAGATCCCCATTTTGTCACGGATATTTTTTGGGAAAGGCACGGCCAGGTCATGGCTTCTGAGAATTTTTCTTTATTGCCCGTGTCCTGGCGGTGACTTTTCCGAAAAATATCCCTGAAAAATCTCAGCCCTAACCAGGAGCCTGTGTTTGCTAGCGAAGCTTCTAGCTCTGCATGTCTCCCAGCTGCCACCAGGGGGAGTAGAGTGTCACTGTGCGTCCCAGCCCAGGGCTCTAACCCACTGTTACCATGCAGGGGTGGGGATAGAACCCAGGAGTCCTGCCTCCGACTCTAACCTGGACCCCAGCCTAACCACTAGACCCCACTCCCCTCCCAGAGCTGGGGATAGAACCCAGGAGTCCTGGCTCCCAGACGCCCCCCCCCGCTCTAACCACTAGACCCCACTCCCCTCCCAGAGCTGGGGATGGGACCCAGGAGTCCTGCTGTGATGAAAATGGGAGTTGTCGGTGCTATTTTTATGCACTCTCTGTATGACTTTGTGCCGATCCCCTTGGCATTGTGGCCTGTTGGGGGGAGGGGGGATAATTGATGGGCTACCTAGGACAGGGGAGATCAGGTTCAATTTCGGGGAGCACTCCTCCATCAGGGTTTCCTGGCTGATCACCATGCCAGGCACAGCTGGTGTGTCCCTTCGGCGCTGTGGGGGGACGTCTACATTTCGACCACAGCCCTGAGGCTGGCCTGGAGCAGCCGGCTCGGGCTCCCAGGCCTCGGCCTGCGGGGGCATGACGTTGCAGTGCGGACATCCGGGATTTGGGCTGCAACACGGGCCCTGGGTCTCCTCTTCCCTCCTGGGGGGGCCTCTGATCCTGAGCCCCAGCCCAAGCCTGACTGTCCAGGCTGCAAATTCATAGCCCCCCCCAGCCTGAGCCCTGCACCTGCCGAGTCTGCCGAGGGATTGGCATTACAGTGCAGACGTCCCCTAGCCCCCCATGTTACCCCCCACTGCCTTGGGGCCCTCCTGCAATTGCATGGCTTGCAGGTGCCTCATGCTAGCTCTGGGAGCGCTTGCTGGGGGCAAGCGAACGGGACAGAGCGAGAGAAAGAGAGCGGAGCTGGGCATGGCTCAGTGGTGCCCTGGCGCCGGCCAGGCTGAATTCTGCCTTCCCCGTTCCTCTCGCTGCTGCAGGCCAGGGGATGAAGTGATTGTTCCCTTGCTGGGAAAAGGCTGCCTGGGGTCACTGCCAATTCCGATCAGAGCCTGGCACCCTGGAGGGGTGGGGCAGACTTCTGCCCGAGGCTGGCATGGCGGGAAGCCCTGGCGCCCAAAGGTCCAGTTTGGGAGTTGTGCTCACAGAGTTGTGCCCTGGGGTCCAGTAGGCCTCAGGGGCATGCCCAGGAGATAGGGGCATAGACCAGATCCTGTGAATGTGAGATGCCTGTCTTCCATCCCCCCCTGCTCTAACCACTAGACCCCTGTCATGGAGTCCCCGGGCGATGCTCTGGAACTGCTCCCCATGAAGCCAGACAGGACTCTGGGGCAGTCTCCTTTCTGTGAGCAGCCTGTCTGCAGGACACACAGCTCACCCGGCTCCACCTTCCTGGGTCTGACCTCGGAGCATTCAGCCTCCTCTGCCCCTCTGCCCACAGCAAGTCCACCCAGGCGGGGTCCTGGGGAAGCCAGAGGGTCCTGACCCCCAACTCCGCAGTCAGACATGACTCTCAATCAGCCAGTAAAACAGAGGTTTATTAGACGACAGGAACACGGTCTAAAACAGAGCTTGTAGGTGCAGAGAACTGGACCCCTCAGCTGGGTCCATTTTGGGGGGCAGGGAGCCAGACAACCCCGTCTGCACTTCACTCCACGTCCCCAGCCAGCCCCAAACTGAAACTCCCTCCAGCCCCTCCTCCTCTGGGCTTTGCCCCTGTCCCGGGCCAGGAGATCACCAGATTCCTTTGTTC